TCATCAGATGAGAATTGTCCACCTACTCGCAGCTCGCTAAAGAAATTGGTGGAAAAAGGATGCTGGGTTGTTGCAGAAGTCCAAACAAACAAGGACAGACAACTGCTTGAATATTTGGTTAGCAGCTTTTTACATTAATGGTCTCACGTTTATATATTTTAAGTGGACAACTGTAGTTGGATTGATGAAACATTGTTATTTTAAGTGACACTTAAAGGTTGCATTTTGGTTCTTATATTCACTTTTAATTCCTGGTTTTTCTCCGTGTAATTAGTTTCTTTCTTTTAGTTGTTGGAAAAAGGGACCTTTCGCATCGATAAATTGGCAGAAATATTTATTTCAGTGGATAATTTGGGTGATTATCTAAGCTTGCTTGATATTCAACCCAGCCTTAAAATTTTGGAAATGTACGCAAACAGAAGCTACTAGCTAGTCGTGAATGATTAGTATTACTAGTTGTTAATGCTTTAATGCCAAATTGGATTTGGTAAGGGCTTCCAATTTGCTTGCGCTAGGCAGGCACAGGGAACTCGGTGACTAGTTTTTTGCTAATGATATTGGTGAGTAGTTATTTTAGTAAGGCCTCACTTATGAGGCACTTAGCTTACTTTACTTGTGCTCAGGCAAGGATACAGGGGAATCACCAGACCAGAACAGGTTTGGATTTAGGTTTCAAGTTCAGTGCATGGCTGTCCTTGCTTCTGAATGGGGCATTCTTCTTTTAAATGCATTTGTTTTTTACCTTTATAAATAAAATTGTCCTGTTGGCTTGTACCAGAAAAGAAAAAAAGTAAATTTGTATGTGCATATGTTCACATATATATATATATATGTATATATTTGTTGTATACCCTTGCTTTTTCACACCTATACGATTGTATCTTATTAATCAAGTTAGATTATTATTTCCAGAAAAAAAGGAAAACACTACATGATCAAGTTATTCTCTTTTTAAATGTTTTTAAGGTTTATTTGGCAATGGAAGCTGGTTACATGGAGAAGGTCGATGAACTTTGTGAGCGTTACTCGCTTGAAGGTTTTTTGAATGCCAAAAGTACGCCCTAACCTGATATTAATAGTCTCTTTTCGTTTGTTGTTACCATAATTGAAACCCAGAGCTCCAAAATGAATTTTCCTTGCCCACAACTTTTGGATGGTGCAATAGTCTACTTTGACATTTTATATGGTTTATATTTAGTCTCATCAACCTTTTATTTTTGCCTTCTTCAGGGAAAAAAAAAGGTTCCTTTTGCCTTTAGAACTCGAATCAACCCTTGCAAGTATTGGTTATCAGCTGGTGTGAAAGTCATGCTAACGGATACTAAACTAACTTGCAAAATTATAATTTGACACATTTCCTTGTTTACCTTTCTTTATGGGATCATTCTAATGGTTCTTCATATTACTTTAAACATCTCTTTCATGAAAAATATATTTGTTGCTATCACCAAAAAAAAAAAAAAAAGGGAAACAAGGACAGACAACTGCTTGAATATTTGGTTAGCAGCTTTTTACATTAATGGCTCTCACGTTTATATATTTTAAGTGGACAACTGTAGTTGGATTGATGAAACATTGTTATTTTAAGTGATACACTTAAAGGTTGCATTTTGGTTCTTATATTCACTTTTAATTCCTGGTTTTTCTCCGTGTAATTAGTTTCTTTCTTTTAGTTGTTGGAAAAAGGGACCTTTCGCATCGATAAATTGGCAGAAATATTTATTTCAGTGGATAATTTGGGTGATTATCTAAGCTTGCTTGATATTCAACCCAGCCTTAAAATTTTGGAAATGTACACAAACAGAAGCTACTAGCTAGTCGTGAATGATTAGTATTACTAGTTGTTAATGCTTTAATGCCAAATTGGATTTGGTAAGGGCTTCCAATTTGCTTGCGCTAGGCAGGCACAGGGAACTCGGTGACTAGTTTTTTGCTAATGATATTGGTGAGTAGTTATTTTAGTAAGGCCTCACTTATGAGGCACTTAGCTTACTTTACTTGTGCTCAGGCAAGGATACAGGGGAATCACCAAACCAGAACAGGTTTGGATTTAGGTCTCAAGTTCAGTGCATGGTTGTCCTTGCTTCTGAATGGGGCATTCTTCTTTTAAATGCATTTGTTTTTTACCTTTATAAATAAAATTGTCCTGTTGGCTTGTACCAGAAAAGAAAAAAAGTAAATTTGTATGTGCATATGTTCACATATATATATATATATGTATATATTTGTTGTATACCCTTGCTTTTTCACACCTATACGATTGTATCTTATTAATCAAGTTAGATTATTATTTCCAGAAAAAAAGGAAAACACTACATGATCAAGTTATTCTCTTTTTAAATGTTTTTAAGGTTTATTTGGCAATGGAAGCTGGTTACATGGAGAAGGTCGATGAACTTTGTGAGCGTTACTCGCTTGAAGGTTTTTTGAATGCCAAAAGTACGCCCTAACCTGATATTAATAGTCTCTTTTCGTTTGTTGTTACCATAATTGAAACCCAGAGCTCCAAAATGAATTTTCCTTGCCCACAACTTTTGGATGGTGCAATAGTCTACTTCGACATTTTATATGGTTTATATTTAGTCTCATCAACCTTTTATTTTTGCCTTCTTCAGGGAAAAAAAAAGGTTCCTTTTGCCTTTAGAACTCGAATCAACCCTTGCAAGTATTGGTTATCAGCTGGTGTGAAAGTCATGCTAACGGATACTAAACTAACTTGCAAAATTATAATTTGACACATTTCCTTGTTTACCTTTCTTTATGGGATCATTCTAATGGTTCTTCATATTACTTTAAACATCTCTTTCATGAAAAATATATTTGTTGCTATCACCCAAAAAAAAAAAAAAAAGGATAAAAATGAAGTGGATTAAAATTCAAACCTCTTGGTTATAAATCCTTTTATAATTTGCCGTCTTCAAATTCTCTGTTCTTTTTTATTCAGACCCTTGTTGTTTTTACGTGATGCACTGATATTTGATCCATGCCGTTGCACTTATCTTACATACATGCATATATGGATCTTGGCGCCCACCTTTTTGCTCTGTACTATACACCCTGTAATTTTTTGCTTTACAGCAATAAAAAAAAAAGTCATATAAGGCATACTCTGTTCATGGATGTGCATGTAAGCTATGTTTGGTGTTGAATAGTTTTCTTTCCAAGTAGTGACTTCTGCGTCTTTCTATTTTTACTGTTGTTCCTAAAAACATAGTACCTGAGGCAAGTCTTCTGCATAGTCGCTACCTGAATCTTGATGAATTGGCTGTCGAAGACATAATTTGGATTGATGGGATTAATTCTCTCCGCAATGCAACATGCCACATTGAAGGATGTAAAGTTGTGGGCCTTGATTGTGAGTGGAAACCAAATTACATAAAAGGCAGCAAACCCAACAAGGTAATCATAACAAATTTTCTCTGATTCATTGTTGCATCTCTTGCGATATCTTTTTCTCTTCTGACAATTCTTGATAGTTTGATTGTTCTGTCGTATTTGGTCCTAATTTCAGCCAACCATTTTATTTATAGATCTCCACATAATATCTTATTTTTTTGATCAAAATGAGGTCAGATAACGGTGTGCCAATGTGTTTTGTGTAGAAGGAATGATCTTTCTTTATCCGGGTTTCAGGTTTCTATCATGCAAATCGCTTCTGATAAAATGGTTTTCATCTTAGACCTCATAAAGTTGTTTGAAGATGTGCCTGACATTCTGGACAACTGTCTAACTCGCATTTTGCAGTCCCCTAGGATTTTAAAACTTGGTATGTAAGTCTCTGCATTATTAAAATGGATTCTCTTGCTTCCCTGTGATTATATGATTTTTTGAATAAACTGTTTTGTGATAGGTTGCACTCTAGGGTTCTTAGTTAAAGTTGACTTAATTGTCTGCTACTTTAGAATACCAAAAATGGGACTGGACTAAAAGCGTGCCAAACAACCCCATGGGGAATAATATAATGCTGCCTGTCAAGTAAAAGCTTGGTCCGCTGCTTGTCTCATAATTATTTATACTATTCATATGGCTGGGGTATTCGTAGCCTTTTCATTAGTCAAATATCCCGTGGATACTTCCTAATATTAACTGTAAGCATGGTTTCTTTGTGGCTTATGCGTGTTTTAGGTTACAATTTTCAGTGTGATATAAAGCAGCTGGCTCATTCCTATGAAGATTTAGGGTGTTTCAAGCACTATGAAATGTTACTGGACATTCAGAATGTCTTTAAGGAGCCTCGTGGGGGTCTCTCTGGGCTTGCAAAGGTAACATAATACTGCATCTTTCTGAATGTCCGTGCTTATGATTCTTGATTTTTTCCTTATCCTTTTTCTCTTTTAATGGCGTTGACACTATATTCAGCTAAGAGCAATGTATTAATAACTACTGCTGTCAGAAAATACTAGGGGCTGGATTGAACAAGACAAGACGAAACAGTAACTGGGAACAACGTCCGTTGACTCGGAATCAGGTAAGTTGCTTCTCCATGACTCTGTAAACAAGTTCATTGTTGTCTTGTTGCTATGATTTGGTTGGAGAGATTGTTACTTGTTTTCATTGGAGCAGTATGGTGAGTTTTAGAGTTACTTGCATACAATTATTCCAAGGTTCTTTTTCTAAGATATTTCTTTTGAGGGATCTGGGATTTGCATTCTTTTTGTTTCTGCTTGTGCTGCATACTGAAAATAATGCATTGTAGTACGAATCGAAGTTCTGGTCTCCCAGTGTTTTTGAACAGTTTTATGATCTGAAATTATTTGCTTGATCTATGGAAAAAATGCGTCCATTTTGGCGTGCAATCAAATAAGCTGATGCTATATGCTCTTTCAGCTGGAATATGCTGCTCTTGATGCTGCTGTGCTTATTCCCATATTTTGTCATGTTCGTAATCGTTCTCAGACTGACGATGTCGAGGGACATGAAAAAATCGAGTGGAAGTCCTACATTGTAAGGGAAATTTTGTGATCTCTGTTTCCAAGTGATGCGTTTGCGCGTTCTTGTGTCTTGTGTTCTTCATCGATCTTTCTGTTAATTCTGTTTTTACCATACAGGTTTCACATATGGATAACCCCAAGAAGCCCAAAAAGCAAAGTGGAAGAGATCAGAAATTAGAAGCTGATAGAAAGTTGCACTGATGATCCAGTTGGTAGCATAGTAATTAGTATACTCCGCTGTAAATATATCTTTTTATTGGACGGTGATGAACAATGATATTTATGTGAATATTTTTCACTCACTAGGAGCAATGGAAATGACTGGCCTGCTGTTTCCCTAATGTTTTGAATCATTAACTAGTTTCCATTCCATTTCTTTTTTACCTTTTGCCACTGCCTTCCTATTTGGAAACTAAATCATTTATTTTTTTTCACTGCTGGGGTCTTTCCTATTCGAAATCAAATAATTTAGTTTGCATTGTTTGCTAACGCCCCATTGTGCAGGTCGTAAATGAATCCAAGAACTATCTTTGTGCAATACTTGTGGTCACCAATAAAAACCTTAACGATATTGCGCAACTCAGAACTATAAGATTTCAACAAGTTTTGTTCAACTTTTTATTTTTTATTTTTTAGTTGTGACTCTTTAACTCGAGGAGGGTATTTTATACCCTACCACAGAATTCTCCAAATATTTTCTAGTCTGTTTTCCTTCTAATATCAAAATCATGCCTTGAGATTTCTTCTTCCGAAGTAACTAAAGGCCATTGATTTTCTTTTTTTCCACGAAATTGTGATCTGCTTTTGGCTATTTTAGTTTGATGAAAACACCACTACGATATGTACTTCTTGAAGCACTGCTTGAACCAAAAGGAGCTGAAAAGGATAAAAGAAAGGTAGAAATATATTTTTCTGGCTTATCATTCTGCGCCGATTAATACATTTTCCACGTTGTGTTGACTTCTAAATACAAGGTGTTCAAACCTTGTAATTTTGCTAAAGTGCCACCGAAATTATGGGGATCAATCAGGTTTGTATTGTACTATCACCACATTTTATGGTCCCAAAATGAAAGTAGAGAGCACTTGTCTATATTTAACCATTTCGTTACATTACATGGCAAAGAAAACATCTGCAATCAGTCAACAGAAGAATTACACCCCACAATTAGGAATCCTTTCACTTATCCACCTTTCCTTCCCCAAAATAAAAGGCCTTAAAATTACCAAATCTTCTCTCTCTCTCTCTCTCTCTCTCTCTCTCTGGGAACCAAAAAATATTGGACAAAGAAAGAGAGAGTAGATGGGGGAGATAATCTGGCAGTGCTTCAACGGAGCTCGTCGGAGCATAAAGATAGTGAATGCGAGTACTTTGAGCGAGAATAGGAGGATATACCAAGGAGGATGGTCTCGTTATCCATTGTCGGATTGTTCTCCAAAACGACGCTTAGCCAAGGCATCCAAGAGCTCCTCTCGGTCGTGGAAGTCGTGGTGGAATGACCCCGAGATGAAGAGGCGGCGGAGGATCTCAAAATACAACTTGTATAGCGCTGAAGCCAGCGTCAAGCGCTCTTTCAAGAAAGGCCTTCGCTGGTTGGGGAAAAAGTGCTCTATGATCATAACTTCTATTTGAACACTGACATTGTCCTTATGAGAGAGACCGGAAAATAAATTTGACTTTGTTAGTGCTGCTTTATTCTTCCTGTTTTCATGCTCAATAATGGAAAGCTTTTCTCCTTTATATTCGGAACTAATGTTTGTTCAACTTATAGTTTTTCTTTTCCCTTCTTAAATGTGTAATATACCGTATTACTGTTCGCGTCTTGTATTCTTGATCACATTGACGTGGTTTTTCAAATGCAGATGATATTTGTTTTCTCGTCATTTCATCAAATTAGCAGCGTTTTTTGTTTGTTAGTGTAGACCTAAAAAAAAAAAAAAAACAATGAAAGAGAACGACATATATTGTGAAAAATCTTCTTGGGGCAAGTTCTTTGTTTAAATTAAATCTTCAGGATTTTGTTGTGGATTAAATCCTCAACTAACAGCTTGTTATACATTTTTTTTCCCACAAAATGTCATTACAAAAAAAAAAAAAAAAAAAAAAAAAAAAAAAAAGTATTTTGTAGAAGAATTTAGACCAATTTTATGGGCAATTGTTAATGGCCACTTTTTACAAATCCAGTTCTGTTTGCATTGTCCTAGCACCGTTTTTGCAACTCAGATAACAAGGATTGGATCCAAGTCAGTTCAGCTACTACCAAAAAAATTATATAACAGATCAACAGAACTTGTGGACTTTTTTATTTTTATTTTTTGGTTATTTGTGTATTTTATTTTATATCTTTGGCACATTTTAATAATAATAATAATAATTGTTGACGGTAGAATTTCGTCAACAAAATTACGTCGAGTTACCTCCCGGTGTTCTGTCGGGTTACCGGCCCTATTATTGTTATGTATTTAGATTAATGCTATAAAGTGTTCGCTTAGAAAGAATATGATGGGAAGTGTAAAAATAGTGCTTGAATGGAAAAAAAAACGCATGAGAGTTTATAGTGGTTCACCCTGTTAAATAAGAGCTACATCCACTGTATATTATATTTCTCTTTGGTTCTCAGATTACATAACCAATCAATCCCCCTTTCTCTCGGGGGCTTTGCCCATTTTATAGCCTATGGATCACATATCGACCCTTTTGGACGGACTGGCATAGGGATTTTAATGATGACTTTGCCTCAAGTGGCCTACCATCTTATTTGCCTAGACTGTAGCCTGTCAACGCCTTTTGCACTGTTCACTCACCCCTTTCGTCCACTATTGTGGCTCTGAGGATCCTCCTTTGATTTCATTGGTCATCCACAGCCGGTTTATAGGTAAGCAATCATTTCTTGTGTTGCTGATCTTTTCCAAGTCCAGACGCAATATGGAGACTTCCCCTTGTCCACTCAGGGGATTTTCTGGGGACGTGGACCCATATTCATGCGGTCTACTCCTTGTGCCTACACAATACAAAGCCAGCTGCAGGCTCCCTATTGGTTGACCCTATCATGGTACCGCTGATGCGAACAAGTCATGTAGGCCTCGATTGTATATGGGGTTGACGGTCTCATAAGTCGCCACGTACAATCGGCCTTTTCACCATATGGAGTTCCAGGCGATGGCAGCTATCTGACGTGGCTAACACGGGGCCACGTGGGGCACTATCGTTGTCCGATGTGTCATCACATATTTTTCCACACAACAGCCGCTCCCCAGGTTGAGGCTTTCCGTTGGACTGCCTTGAGCTAGGTTAGGATTCACTCTGGCACTTCTTTATGTCTGCTTCAGGTGTGGGAACCTAACTCCGAGCCTTTCTTGCAATGATGGCCCTGGCGCTTCGACAATCCCTCAAGAAGCGTAAACATCACGTCAGTTTAATCGCCATGCTGACGTGGCTTTTTATTTAAACAGATGAACCCGGGCCACTGGATCGTGCCTCCTTAGCCTCCTGCCCTTCCCCTAACCGTCGAATCGAATTCCTGTGCTTTCACCGTTGGATGCGTACGTACTTGATCGGACGGCTGGGGGCCGAGGGCTTTTGATTGCTATAAATAGTCTTTTCGTGTGTCTGAACCGTTTTGAAACCATTTTGAAGCAGCCGAAACTCTGCAGAAATTTCTCCAGGACTGTTTACTCTCTTCTTGCCAACTAGTGGATATTTGGCGATATTCACCCCAGTGTTCTTGCATTCCTCTTGCTCTTGATTTCCTGGTAAGCATTCCTCGTCCCTCTTCTCCATTTTTGATGTGTTTATCTCGCCTAGGATTACAGTAAATTTCTTGAGTAAGGGGAACGATTAAAAATGGCGTAATAGGGGTGGTAGAACCTGAGTCTGACATTATTCATAATGTTTTGGACCGGCTATAAGAGTTTCGAGTGAGTTTGGATTTCTGTTTGGCATTCTGGGTTAGTTTGAATGGTCATCGCTTTGTTTGAATAATCTTCGGCTAGTTCATATTTAAGCCTGAATCATCGTTGCTTTCATGAATTGTCGTCGCTTTACCCTTTGACTTTAACCAACCAAGCTTTCTTATCTTTAGGCGCCGAACTATCATCCTTTTCCCTCTCGACTTATAGGAACTAACCTTAGATTTTTCCTTCACAGTATTGGCACCTAGAAGGATTAAACGTCGAGGGGGATCATCACCCGCGCCTCTTGTGAGGTCGGATCCAACACTAGCCGCCAAGTCTTTCTCCCATTCTACTGCTAGCGACCCGATTCTGAGGGAGATCGAGGAGTACGTCCCTGATTCACGGGATGATGAAGATAGTGTCAACCGCCTGGTCGAAGGCGAGGAAGAAGAAGAAGACCCCTCTACCTCCAATGGCTCCGACTCCTTAGTAGGCGGCGTTGTCATTGGCTTCAGTGGTCGGTATACTGCCGTCCCCGTGGTGTCAGTGGGGGCGGATGAGGATCGGCCTCCCTTCACAGCTGACTTTGTGGAACCAAAGACACGGCAAAGAGATATCGTCCGCGCGTATAAAAAGGGTCGCGTGGATGGTCGATGGTTTGAGTATCTTCTCCCGGACTCCCACTTCAGGGCGAGCCAACCACCCCCAGGGTATATGTATATGTATACCCGGGCCTTCACGACGGGAATGACACTTCCTATACACCCGTTCGTAAAGGCCCTTTGCGAACTTCATGGCATTTCTTGTTGGGAATAGTGTCCTAGAAGCATAAGATGTAATAGGATATTTATTATTTAATTAATAAAAGAGTTTATTCATCATTTTATGTGCATATATTTATGAATATTTTATGAATATCAAATGAAAATTTCATGATTATTTATGTAACCTTAAACATAGTATATAAGTGTTATATATGAGAGGATAGTGTTTAAGGATAATAATAAAAAACATTGTTCATGATGAATTTAATTAAAGTTCAGAATCTTTAATTAAAACATTATTAATACATGTCATTCCCATTTAGAATGGAACGGTGCTATCCGCACTGTTAATATGGTAAGATATTGAATGAGTGTATTACGCATAATAAGATTATGTGAAACATGAACACAGACACAATATGAATTTCTAATAATTTCCGTTAAGCATAGAAATTCTAATTGAGTCTACCGATGGTCATATATAGAATGATCTTAATCCTGAGTTCTTAATAAACTCCTATTTATGGATTTATGTCTTTTGATTTACTCGGTACGGATTCCGAGACCCTGAATCTTATTCCTTGTATTTTGGAGACATGATGAAATAGGTAGCTGAAAATGTTATTATACGAGATG